AGGGTGTGAAGCGGACGGGAGAAGTGAACAGCCAGACACACGAACACGAGAGGAAGATAAGAAAGCGAAGACGAAGTGGTCGAAGCCGAGATGTTGATCTGGCCGCTGGAGGAGGCACGATCTTCGCGTCAGTGCCAGAGTCATCCGAGCAACGGGCTCCAGCCGTCCTCTCCGGTCCCAACTAATCCACCGAATGCGTGTACCGACTCAAGTGGACCACGGTGGGAAATAGGGGGCATCTCGACCAATGCAGGTGCCGCTATTGACGACGATAACTGGGCCAGATAACGATGAGTCGGTCGCGTGGGCTCCGAGAGGTGGATAAAAAGCTAATTGCCTTATTTGCCCAACACCCAGCTCTGTTTGGCGTTGATTGACTGCAATACAGAAATCCCACTCCCCTCACTAGAAGGCCTGCATACGCGCAAATGAGTGTGATTTGGCCTCGGCTTGTCCGTCCGTGAAAAGCATTCTGCCTAAGGGCAGAGATGAGTGGGCCGAGGCTGAACTGTTGACCAGAGTCGAATAATGGGTCTTATTTGGTAATAGAATTCTTTCATTTCCTTGGGGAACAACTTGTGTTATACGAAAAAAGCTGGCCTATTGTTGTTCCCTTTTCAGCATGCCTTACGGATAACGAGATGAAAAACAGTGAAAGACAGACGAAGGATGACCAGACTCTCCCCGGCAAAAAGGATGGAATATAAACTTGCAGACCTGCACTGAAGTGTTTGCCCAACTTTTGTCGGTTCGGCCATGCAGACACGAAACAGTCTGACTGGGGTTGTGGTTTCCTGGGCCCTCATTCGGCCTATGGGCCGCCGGAGAACATGTTTTTTCACGAGGGGCTGCCAGTTGGACAACCGACCCGATGGTTGGGAGGCTATGATAACGGGGCTTCTGAGGCCGAACAGCATCCCGATTGGTCGAAGCGGCTTGGATGAATTGTGGAACTGGACTTTGGGTTTAGAAGGAATTCGTGAATTGGAAGCAATGGAACTCAAAAAGGACATTCATTTGAGAAGATCCCCGTCCTACCGTTCTGCCATTTCGATGAATCCGTGTTAAGCATTCGCCTGAACCATTTCATATTCCTACTTTTGCGATCATGGTCTGTTTCAGTAAAACATTCTTACTCCGCGGATGGGTAAAGATAATTCACGAAAGTGAAGCAAATGCGGTTGCGATTGGTTCCTCGCACACATAAACCAACGCAAGATCCTCTAATCTTAGCACATGATCATGTTTGTGGTATTGAAAATGGATTGTGTCCAAGGTTCAAGTCATGTGGGATGGGATAACCCCAAACAGAATCGAGTCGGTTCCTCCTAATCATACTCTCACTCCCTCCCTCTACCTCCCCATAAGCTTTTCCAACATCCATACATGGTTCATAATCATTTGCCTACAGTCGTTCCTCCTATTCAGAATGTTGACTGCTCTGCTAATTTCCATAGACTCCTTAATCTTATGCTTTTATGTCGAGTCCCTTTAACCAGCAGAACGTTAAGTCTTGGACCAGTCTTTTACGTGTCCTGTATTAGCCATGTCCTCAGTGAATTCAACTTTTGTGATTCATAGACCTTCTGAGGCAGTTTTGGGATTTGAAAATCTATCCGAAATTGCTCGGCAGGTCTCCCCTACATCGACTTAACCACAGGAGCTTTAAAGATCTCTATTGAGAAAAGTGTACATTTTTCTTAATACATTATTTTGATTGTCATCTTCTTCCGTAGCTCGCGTAACTGTTTCCCAAGCTGAGGCAACGGCAAATGTACGAACCGAGTAGAAGCGGTTTATCTGCCCACACCATCCTGAATCGCAGCTACCCCTCATTTCATTTATAAGTTGTGAAACTTAAATCCTAATAAATGTAATGAATACTTATTTTTTCGTTTATAAAAAGGTATTCAAGACTACCGGTATATCATATATACAGGATGATTTCGTCTTATCTTGTGTAACGTAATGAAGAACTGATAGTAGAAGTACGAAGTAGGGTGGATACACCTCATTTATATATTCTACTAGTAGTCTCGAGAACCTACTTATAAACGAAATTAAGTAATGTAGTCGATTTCTATAGAAAATACAACTTTGCTTCATCGATGATCTCAACACAGAATGTGATATTATAAAATGCCTGACCTTCCTTAAAATTCACACCTGCCCTGTAACCCAAGGGCACGCTAGCAGTTTGGCATAGTGGTTAACGTGTAGAGATTATACGCTGCATTGTCATGGTTAGAGTCCCGCTGGCGGTGCTAATGAAACCAGTTCAGGCGAGGTCGAAATTGCAGCCAACTCCTGCCTGGATAAGAATACCTATTGGAAAGCAGGGCTATCTGAAACTAAATGCTAATGTAAGGAATACTCATATAATAATGAGAACATTTGACTGCTACTCTTTCATCACACAAACACATGATAAATTACTATACACTTATTTTAATTAATATATCCGTCAATGTACCAATTTCCTCGTCCAGCTACATACTACTTATTACATTCAATCTCATAATTCCCACCTTCGTTCCATTTATATCATTAGAAAAGAAGTTAGAAATGAAGCCCACATATCCATATATACATTTCATATAAACTTCTCCACCCAACTGATCACCTTTTTTGCTCACCTTTACGACAAGGACTGGTAGCTTATATTTCTTTTCTACCTACAGAAAATTTAGTAATAAGATCCAATTTATTCATTAGCTCTATGAATTCTTCCAAGTTATCTTTGTAGTTGTGCCAAGCAACAAAGTAGTCGTTCATAGATCTAGCTAATAACTTTGAAACTAGGAGAGCTTTTTGAAATAGTCGAACCTCCATTTCAACCAACTATTTATTAGCTAAGCTAAAAGTTGAGCATAGACATTACCAAACGATCACAAAACGTTATAATATTCTGAGAAATTTGTTGTTTCCTGTTTATACTTCGAAAGTGGAGCATAACAACTACACCCAGGCCCCTGGCAGTTACAAATCAAATGGTTGCTTTCTAAGAAACAA